CCCGGCAGACGCAGCAGCTTAACCCTCACCCTGCCGCTCCCCCCAACCCCAGCTGGGACCTTTAGGGCTCTCTGTGCTCCCAGCGGCATGGGGAAGGCTGGGGGCAATGGTAGAGCTTCCCCTGGGGACGCTTGAACAGGAGGGGGAGAGGGAACCCAGGGGGTCTGCGGCTGCTCCCCACAAAGTCTTGGGTGTTCAGACTGAGGCGAGAGCAGAGCCTGGTGCCAGCACATGGCCGGGCTGGCCCTGAGCCCACGCTTGCCCGTCTCAGGGTGGCTACAGCCGGGCTCAGCTCATTGCCCAGCTTCACCCCACAGCAAGGGCTATGGTGAAGATTTGGGGCAGGGAGCACTCGGCTCTGAGGCTGGGACCCTGCTCATGACCGGCTCTTGCTGCCTTTAGGTTTGATGGCAAATGCAGGCAGGAAAACCACAGCAGCTACGAGACCTGGGAATCATGGCAAATCCCTGGAAATCACAGCAAATCCCGCAAATCCCATCGCCTCTGCTGGAAACCCTCCCAAGGGCAGTCCTCCAGGGGCCAAGAGAAATCCCACAAAGAAAGGATGGATGCTAAATGTTCTTAAATATTTAGTTCAGATTTATTTAAAGTCAAGTCAGTTTGTGGACACTATTTATATTATTAAAAACACTTGGAGGTTTGTACTTCTAGCAAAAATATACATTTCAGTTTGAGGGTTGTTACACTGTCGAGGAGGGAAGAGCAAAAATGTTACCCAGGTGATGAGCACGCGAGTCCTGCATGCCGGTCACGGCCAGGGATGCTACCGGGGGCTTTGGGAAGGGCAAATTCCCCAGGCTCCGTCCAGCACATGCACGTCTCTGGTGCCTTCCCCGGGCTTCAAAGTGCTTTAGAAATGGTAATTCATAACACCCCTGCGAGGTAGGGAGGGGAAGGGGCCGGGCGGGCAGAGGGCAGGGAAACTGAGGCACGGCAAGGAGCCGGAGGGCGGCAGCAAGGGCAGGTTTGGGACCAGTCAGCCCTGTGACACGGAGGGGAAGCCCAGCGCTCTTCTCCTTTGGGTTTTAAAGGAATTATTGCACCAGGGAAATCTGCTACCCTGAAGAGGAGGAAAATAAAATAAAACTGACTAATTTGCTCCCACGACTCCTCCTTGGGAGTAACAGCATTTTAATAAGGCAGCTCGGGACACATGGGACCACGAGCTGCAGATGGGTAAGTGCCACTTCTTAGGTCAGACACCATCACCCCGAGAGGGGACCGAGCCCTTCCCAGGTCCGTCCTCTCTCCCAGAGCCCGGGTGACACAGCCCCCCATGCAGGGGTCCCGTCCCAGGCACAGGCAGCACCGTGGCATTTCACTACAGCTGCGAGAAGTTGCGAGGTAAAGTCCCAGAACGGCTCTGGGTTTAGGCAGACCCGAGCCCGGAGCTGTCCCCACGCTCGGGATGGCGGCAGAGGAATCCCCGCCCCAGCCGCGCTCGCCAAACTCCTGCTCATGGTGAGCATCCTGCCCTCTCCCTCCCCTTTTATAAATACTTGGCATATATACTGTGTTTTACAGCTGCAAATCTCTTTGCAACCAATGCACTAATTGCTCCCCTTCCGAGCAGAAAGCAGGTGATAATCCAGCTCCCTTTCAGAGGGGAAACTGAGGCAGGGCAGTTAACAAGTCAATGCCCTTTCAGCATCATGAGCATTCTGGGCTGGCCGTGGATTTCTCCTTGCGGGTGTTGCCAAAGGCTTTGCTTGCTCTGGTGCTCACAGGAGGCTTTGTTTGCTCTGGTGCTCACAGGAGCCATGCCGCCGGGGAGCCTCTGCTGCATGCAAAACGCCCAGACCCTCTCGGGGCTTGGGAAGGGAGCTGCAGGACAAGCCGCAAGCCCAGCCACCTAAACCCCAACCAGTCCTAGTCCCAGGCCTGCCCCTGGCCCCGCACAGACCTTTCTGGTAACTCCCGTCTGTGCAGAACAGCCTGGGGAAGCACACAGATTTTGGCCTTGGCTCTGAAGTTGAATTTTTATGAGTCAACCCCCTTCCCTCCCACCTTCCCATCCGTCCCTCTCTCATACTGAGGTGCCAAGGGGCAGGCTCCCTCTGACATGGGGGTACTGGGAGCAAGGGCTCCCACACAGCACTTGGGGGAAGGCAGAGACCACACAATCCTTCTGGGAGACAGGAATATGCCACACAGTGAGGGGGGGCTACAGCTGAGGGTCTCTGCTAGGACAGCCTTACCCGTCTTCAAATACTCTGGCTTTTCTTTGGGAAAGAGAGAAACATGCTTTCATTACACTGTCCTAGACTCCACGGCTCAGGACTATGTCTTCGGAGTGCAATATAAAAAAGAAAATAAAGATGTACTGTAAGTGCTGTTGCTGGCCCTGCCGGATACCCGCACCGCGCTGGGGTCTCCTAACGACCAGAGCATCCCCCACCGTCCCCGCACTGCCGCAGGAACCCCACCGTCTGGGCCATGTAAACCGGCCGGCCGCTCCAGAGGCCCCAGGGAGCAGCTGAAGAGCTGGGCCGTAGTAACGGAAACAGTAGCTTATGATTTGCCTTTGTAAATTTGTTAGTGTGTGTTAACAGAAGCCCTGCCCCAGCAGATGGTGGCTGCAAAATCTTACGGCATCTTGCCCTATGTACCGTACGTCAGGGCCATGTAGAAAAGAGTTTCCAGTAGAAGAAATGGAAGACATGGGGAAAGGTTTTCTTTGTTTCTGTACAAAGAGTCTTGTTGGGAATCCATGGCTTCATTCTCATAAATAACAGGTCCTTAGTACATGTCCTTGTAGATCTCCTGCAGGAGCGGGTGCAGAGATGTCTCCGTCTCCGTCTTCTTGATCTTCTGCACCAGTTGGGCGTGCTCCGTCACCAGCTGCCGCAGGTCGGCCATCTTCTGCAGCAGCTTGGGGAAGAGGTACTGGGCATCCGGGTGGTTAGACTGCAGGTGAAACTCCAGCGCGCGCAGGATGTTGTCTTGGATCTCCTCCACCTGCTTCACGTTCATCAGCCCAGGACGGTCTGTGGAGAGGAAGCACGGTAGCTGTAGTGTTATGGTGTAGCCCTCCAAAGCACATGCTCCTCCTGGGGAAGGGGAGACGGGGACTGTAACCCACCCACTGTGACTCCAACCTTATCAACTAGACAAGGGGAGAAGTGTGCCCTTGGACAACATCTCCCACAGCAGCACACGAGAAGGAGATGCCACTTCTACACTCCTTGTTCTTGGTCCAAACTTGCTAGGCATCACCGCCATGGAGCAGCTTTGGTTTCACTCATTCTCTCGTCCCCCTAAGACAGACCTGGCTGATCTCAGGGCCAGCTGCAGCTCAGCTCCCCCAGCCCACCCCAAACCACCTCGAAGTAGGGGAGGACTCACACACAGCCAAGAGCGCCCGCTCACCTCCGCACAGGATAATGGCAGCCACAAACAGAGACAGGGCGCTGTCATCCAGCTCCAGCGCGTTGAACTTCACAGCAAACTCAAATTTGGGCTCCATGATCTCGTTGAAGGGCTTGCGCAGGCTACGCAGGAACTCACGGGTCACGAAGCCGTTCCCGTTGGCCACCAACAGCCCATCCTTGTTCATGATAGAGGCCAGCATGGCGAAGATGGCCTCGTGCACCCCGTACTTCAGCAGAGTCACTTGGTCGTTCAAGTAGAGGCCTATGAAGCTGGGGATGCTCTTGGCGAACTCGGTGAGCTCCCGCACAGTCTCCACCGTGGTGCACTGGCAGCGGTAGAAGACGTGCACCCCGATCTCCTTGTAGGGGGGAATGCCATTCACTAGCTGTTTCCACACCAGCCCCTTTTCTGCCTGCCACAAGGTGTCCATGTCATGGATCACAAAAGGCTGCTTGAAAAAGAAGCAAGCTGTTAGGAATCTGCCGCGGGGACTCGAGATACCAGCTCTACTGAGGACGCTCGCATTTGTCTGCCTCTCCCTTTGCTGTTCTCTCCCCACTGGGGCTGACAGTGCCTGGGCAATCTGCACCCACCCATAACAGCACAAGTCCGCAGAGCAATGGGACTTTTCCCAGCAAGGGGCAGGATGTGTAGAACCCACCTGGCTGCAGCTGGGAACTGGTGTACATGGAACAGCCACAGCAGGAGGGAGATGTGCAGCACCTCCCAGAGAACAGCCCCCCACATTGGTCATGGCCAACCCCACCTGCCCTGCGGGGGGAACTTACTGGGGTGCTGCTGGCCTTCCCGGTCAAGATACCTCTCGCCTTCTTTTTGGTCATGTTGAAATTTTTCAGGTAGGCATTGTAGATGTGCTTCGAGAAAGCTTTCAGGTCGGCCACTTGCGGGTTCTGGCAGCTGATCTCGCTCGCTGTCAGTCCTGCCACCAGCTTCCTCTTCTCTGCCTCCGGCATGCGGCCGAAGCGGATCGCTGTGGGGGGCAAAACCAGGGGGTCAGGACACTGGGGATGACCCCAGGAGATGTATCCAGGGAGGGAGCAGTCTCCTCTGCCACCTCAGAGAGAGGTCTGCTGGTGAACACCTGCAGCTATGCAACACGATGCTTCTCCATTGGGCTGCAGCTCCTCCGACATCGACACCTCATGAACCAGCCATTACTGCTACTCTTCCCAACACAGCTTCACATCAAGCTCCCGTCCCCACTCCTCCACGCTCTCGCACAAACCTTGCTTCTCACATAAACACCTATGCTTGGCCAGGAACAAGATGGTTACACCTGAATTTTAAAAATCCCAGCACAGAAGAGCAATCTGTGTGTCCAGTTCCCTCTGGGTCAACCCATAAGGGACAGCCAAGTGCCGACAGCCAGCCCGCACGGTGGGAACGAGCAGCCCGTTCTCGTACAGGAGAAGGGGATGAAGAGTCAAAGGCTCAAAGCATTAGGTTTGAAAGATGATCCCCTAGCAAGAAGAGAGCTACGGGATAAAAGAAGCTACAGACAGCCTCCCCATGCGAACCCTTCGCAGAAGGGCAGATGGCCCCGTGGCTCCCAGCCAGCCAGGCCTGTGGACAGCGGTGGCACTCACCGTTATGTGACATGCCCAGCGAGAGGCATTTCTGGAAGCGGCAGTACTGGCACTTGTTTCGGTTCTTCTTCTGAATCTTGCAGCTCCTCTCGCACTTCTCGTAGTCCAGTTTCATGCGGATCGTCCGGCGGAAGAAACCCTGCAGGCAGGAGGCACAGAGAGGGACGTGGACCAGGGGGACAAGGGAACAGCAGTGTTAGCACCTGTGGTTTGGGACCAGGCTGGTTTATTATCCCCAGGAGCCTCATGGAGATTCAGCGGGGTGGGGAGGAAGAGCCCTGAGTCTCTTTGACAGAAGCAGAGTCTCTATCTCAAGAAGAGGATGTGCAGTGGGAGAAGGAGGCTGCAGAAGAGGAACCGTGGAGGGCAGCCCACGGTCCGGTGCCGGAGAGCCGTGTGTGTGATACTGCAGGGAGCCAGCAGGGAGGGATGGAGGAACAAGCTGCGGGCTGGCCCCAGCCTGCAGGAATGTCTGGCAGGACCTGGGCCGCTAACGCAGCCCCGCTGGCATCTGCTGTGGGGGAAAGAATTTTAAAGGCACATCCAAACTGCGGCCAGTGATCCCAGGGGGATAAACACACAGCTCACTGCTGATCTGCAGCACAGAAAGCATCTTTAAAAGCAAAGCCAGGGTCCCCGTTGGGGTAGCTGGATTTGCCTTAGGAAGTAAACCATGACAGGGCAAGATTTGGGCCATACGCATCTCAGCGGCCTCCCCCAGGACAGTATTTGCATGCCTGCCTGTACTCTCCACGCTCTCTGGACAGGCTGCAAATGAGTTTTTTACAATCACTCGATCCCGCATCCCTGTTTTGCTGCAAATCTGCTCGTCTGAGGAGACAGTGTGGTCCCTGGGGTCTAATCTCTGCTTGGCGTCGCTGAACCCAGCCCTCCCTAGGGCGTACGTACCTTGCAGCCCTCGCAGGCGTGCACGCCGTAGTGAAACCCCGAGGCTTTGTCTCCGCAGACCCTGCACTCCACGTTCAGCGCTCCCGAGGCCGCCTCCTCACAGCCCATCTGCAGTTGGTCCGACAGGGAGGGAGAGGAGCTCTGCGAAAGGTCTGCAAACACACACAGGAATATGTCCTTTCGTGTACTAGCCGCAAGCCCAGCATCGCATCTACCTCCTCCAGCCATGGGGCTGACAAGGGATTTCCAGTACTGTCCCAGCCTGCCACTGGCATTGCATCTGGGCAGTTAACCTCTGAGATCAGGCACTGGCTGCAGGCAGATGCCATGCACAGAGCCAAGAGTACCCCCAGCATGCCCAGTAGCTGAGAAACTCCACATCAATGCTGATTTCTTCCCTCTGGCATTCGTGTCTAGGCAATGAAACCCAACCAGCAAATTTTATAATCCCCAGCTGGCAGGCGGCTGGCGCAGGGCTGCCCAGCTGGAACACCCAGGGCTCTGGAGGAGCCTCTTCAGCAGCAACAAACCTTCTCCCCCAGCTCCTACAATCAGTTTGCACTTCAGGAGGCCAGGGAAGCATTCTCAGGCACCCTGGGAGTCCCCTCCCTCTGAGGCACAACATTACCTGCCCGTCCTTTTAATTTCCATCTCCCAACCTGCTGCCAACGGCTGTGCAGTGACCACAGGGGAAGAAATAAGCCTCTCCATAACTTGGCTCTTGATTCATTATTTCACAAAGGGAAGAGATTAAAACAAGCCAAACTCCATTCATGGGCATGTCCTCTGCCCTTGCAGCTGAGGACGCTGCCCGGACGACATGGATGTCTGGATGTTGCAGGGACAGACGAGCTCCCGTGGCTCCACTCACCTGTGTAGCTGCTTGAAGGCAGCGAGCTGTCTGGTCCTCCACTTGGGTCCGAGGCTCTGTTTGCCACCATCACTGCCTCTTCCTCTTCCTCCTCCTCTTCCCTGACCTCAGGTACTTCCTCCTGTAGTTGTTCCATAATTGATCACCCCTCAGTGCCAAGGCTGCAATCCCTGTCATAGCTCTGGCATCATCCGCGTCTATCCGAGATGGACCCTACCAGGCTGTTCCTGCTAGCCTGCGGGACAGAGGGAGAAACGCGCGGTGTCAGCTCCCGACGCCCACACAGAGCGTCTCAGCAGCAGGGCGGTGTGTAACCACGCTAGTCCTGCTCTGCTTTCTCTCCTTATCCAGGAGACAAGCAGAACCCAGGGCCCTTTAAAGGTCACTTTGTGCTCTGGTACAAATACTCTGTAGGATTCAAGGAAGCAAAAACTCACCGGAATCGTATTTAAAGCCCAGCAGACAGAGCCCAGACCACAAACCAGCCCGGATGCCACCCAGGGACCCGGGCTCCCCAGCTTGCAAGTCCCATAGCAGAAACACTGCCCCAGAGAGTGTCCCCGAGAGCCGCTGGCGCACTGGGATGTCACGGTGGTAGCCAAGGCCAAGGTTTGACCGATCCAACAGCACCAGAAAGATTAAGGCAGGGCTGGCTTCACTCTCCTTCCCC